GCATAATGTATGTATATAATAAAAAAATCCAATATTTATTTTTTAAAAATTGTTTAATTTCTGAATTAATCTTGTCTAATTTCTTGTCTAACAAGTAAACTATTTCAAGTGTCAGACACCGATTTATTTCATACTTTGGATTTTGATTCGAAATACCAAAAGGTGATATTTTATATAAAAATTAATTGGTCAATATTAATCGTAGCGTTTATACGCAATATTTCATTTTTATAATTTAATAAAATAAAATAAAACCTCAGAAATAACGCATTTCTCCCAAAAATATTTCAAACCAAAGTTGCTTGGTTTCGAAGAACATGTAAAATAGTGATTTATTTAATCTAGAAGTTTCTCTAAATATCTTATTAATGTTAACTAAATTTTTCACATAATTGTATATAATTTTTTTACGTAAACCGATTCCTTTTTTATTCTGCTGCTTTATTCTAATAAAGATCACTATTTTACATGTCTTTCAAAACAAAGCAACTTTCGTTTAAAACATTTTTTTGAAATGCGTTATTTTTTAAGTACATATTTTACTCCATTATTATTATATAAAAATGAGATACCGTGTATAAGCGCTACAGTTAATATTGAGCAATTAGTTTTTGCATGAAAAATCATCTTTTGATATCTTGAATCAAATTCCAAAATATAAAATAAATCGGCGTCTGGAATTTAAAATAGTTTACTTGTAAGATGTATTAAAAAATGCTCACATTTTATAATTTTAATTTTAATCTTTTTTTCTCCTTTTTTGTCTTTATTTTAACATCTACTTACCTTAAATACCTATTTTGAATTACAAAATTACAAAGATGAGTAGAAGTATTCAAATTAGTGAATATAATTATTCCGACAATGGTTATAAAATCGAAAGAGTCTACTTTTCAATAGTGATTCGATTGTAAGCTGAAGAATGGTTTATCATTAGAATGATTGGAATCATTTCTCATCTATAATTCGGGCGATATTACAAACAGCTACAGTTTTGACAGTGTTATAAAGTAAAAAAAATAAAATATATAAAATAAACATAACACTTTATATTTAGACATAGCATTTCTATCTCGGGTTATATCTAGATAATTCGAGAAAATAAGTTGAAATCATGTGTGACAATGAAGCAAGTGGATCGTGGAACGGTATTGACTCCGGCGAGGAAATTGTTATTTCTGGTATTGCTGGTAGATTTCCTGATTCAGATAACATGAATCAGTTACGAGAAAAATTATTTAATAAAATTGATTTCGTTAGAAAAGGTCGATGGAAAATAGGTTATTATTTAACGTTTACATAGTTCTGCTTATAGTTTTAAATTTATGCCTGATTTATAGATAGAATATGCCATTTCTTTTACACAATTAAATTGTAATTACATATATGATATTTATATGGCAAAAAAATGTACTCTAAATATATCATTATTAACATAAACATGTTATGTCTTGCTCATCTTTCATTAGACCATCCGGAAATTCCAAATAGAGTAGGAACGATTAACAATGTGGAAAAATTTGATGCGAATTTCTTCGGATTATCTTTCGAACAAGCACACACTCTCATTCCCGAAACGAGATTGTTATTGGAATGTTCTTATGAAGCAATTGTCGATGCAGGAATTAATCCAAAGCAATTACGAGGAAAACATACTGCTGTCATCATAGGAGTAACTTTAATTGAATCGCAAAAGAAACTTTTATATGAAACCGCTCAGGTAGAGAAAAATATTAATGAATATAAGTAGTAAAGGATTATTATATATTAATCATTAAGAACAAGAAATTGTAATGCGCCCTATTCTGTAATTAGTTAGGAGGTCACAATCTTATTGGGTGTAGCAAAACTACAGCAGCAAACATGATTTCATACTATTTTGATCTGAAAGGACCATCATATACTGTTGATACAGCATGCAGTTCCAGCCTTAGTGCCATAGCTATTGGTTATGATTTTATTATGTCAGGCATATGCGAAGATGCAATAATTGGAGCTGCAAACTTAAGTTTTATTCCTACTATACCCCAACTATACACTCTGCTTGGTATTTTTCAAAAATTAATAACTTTTTTAATATGTAATAAAATTAAAGAAGTACTCTTACCTCCACGAAAAGTAAAATGAAATGTAACTGATTGAGAGTAATTGATTTTTATAAAAACGTTTATAAAATTAAAATTATTATGCTTATAAATTTTTTACCAAAATTGAATAACATATCTTGATACACAAAAAAGATAATTCTTTAATTTTTCTGCGTATAAGCAGAAAATATCCTCCTATGTATAAACTTCCCACACATCTTTTTACATATATTTCATATCTTTTAGGTGTTTTGGCACTCGATGGTTATTGCAGACCTTTTGATATTGCTGCAAGTGGTTTTTCGCGTTCTGAAACGGTGTCAGTGGTATACCTTCGAAAGGCGAAAAATGCGAAGAGGATTTATGCCATATGTCCGCATATTAAATTAAACAGTGATGGTTACAAAGAAGAAGGAATAACATACCCGTCGTCGTTTATACAAAGTAGATTACTAACAGAGTTATACGATGAATGTGGAATACCGACATCTTGTTTGGATTACATTGAAGCACATGGTACCGGTACCAAAGCTGGCGATCCCGCAGAAATTAATGCAATCTCTAATGTATTGTGCAAGAATAGAGAAACTCCATTAATGATCGGCTCTGTAAAATCTAATCTTGGACATGCTGAACTTGCCAGCGGTTTCAATCAAATCGCTAAGGTAAATACAAATAGCTTTTGTTTACATTCATTATTATAAAATTTGCTTTTATTTTACGCAATCACATACACATATGTACACACAAAAAAAAGATTTATTTTCCGTAAAAATTATTTAAAAAATTACTTTGTCGTAAAAAAATATTAATATTACACAAGTATTAAATTGGTTAGAGAGTGTAACTACTTTGAATATTAAAAGCTTTGGCAAAAGCGCTTATATTCAAATTAAATATTTATAATACTTACAGTGTTGTATAAATATACGTAATACTTATAGCATTTAATTTTTCCCAGAGAATAATTTGGTCAATTCGAATTTTTTTAATTTCAAATTTTTTTATATCTTCTATATATATATGCTGAAGTGGTGAGTAGGTAAGTGTGCATGTGTGTGTGTGTGTGTGTGTGTGTGTGTGTGTGTGTGTGTGCGCGCGCGCGCTCGCGCGCGCGTGCGTGCGTGTGTATGTGTGTGTGTATGGGTGGATGGGTGGACGTATGTGGATGGGTAATTCATGAATGTAGATAAATGAGTGGGTGTGGGTGGATGAGTGTTTGTGGATGAATCGGTGCGGTAGGCGCGCTTGCTGTGTTCTATATATACAGAGTGTCTCATACTCGCAATGGTACAGCGCTTGTGGGCAGGTAGTGTGGACCAAACTGAACAAAAAAGTCCTGTACCATTTTGAGATCTTTGCAATAGTTATCGAGATATTAATCATTTTAAAAAAAGAAAAAATTTTACATAATGGCCAAGTTTTTGCTTCATTTATAATTCTATTGATCATTTTAATAACTTTAAGTCTGTTTTACGAAACTTAAAGTTATTTGGAAAGACAATGGCGTTAAAATTTTGCTGCATATAATTTTGAATAAGATCGGAAGAGCACACGTCTGAACTCCAG